CCTCCCCTTTCAAAAAAAAAAAAAAAAACCGAAACTTCATCCACTTGGAAAACCGAGCTTCTCCCGAGGCAGCGCTATCGGGACCCGGGTAGGCGGCCCCGCCCCTCGGCCCCGCCTCGTCTCCCCCCTTCGCGGCGCTTGAGATGGTCTCGCCCACTCCGCCCCTCGCGGGGGCCGGGGCCGCCGGGGCGCACCGAGGCTCACCCAGGCGGAGGAGGGCTTGGGGACTCCCAGTCCTGGCTCTCTCCTTCTCCCGAGTGGAGTGGTGCGGTCCCCCAAAGGGACCAGGGACGACCAGGGGGTGTGCGGGGAAGGCAGGGTTCGGATGCCCGCTCTCTCCGGCGGCCGGAGCGGGAGGTGCCTGTTTGGGAAGCTGGATGCTGCCCGCTGGACCAGCCTGCTCTTCCCTTCTTCACCGGGGCACCGGGACTGAAAGGAGACACTCTTCTCCACTCCTTCCTCCTCCTCCCCCCGCGGGGCATCCCGGCTCTCCGCTGTCCCGGGCCTGCGTTAGCCCAGGCATTTAGCCTGCTCCTTTCTTTGGGAGGGCGGTTTGGTGGAAGGGTCAGCGGAGCTGGCGGGGGACACTAGGGTCCCCCCACCCCCACCCCCCGGAAGGTTTGCTCTTTAGCTCGGGCCGACGGGTTGTCCACTTTCTGCGCTAGGCGACCGGCAACAGGAGGCCATGGATTTCTCCCATCCGAAGGCTTCGAGTGCGGTCGTGTGTTTTTTTTTTTTTCTTTGATCGTTTGCATGTTCGCGCGTGTAATTTTATTTCTTGCGTGTTTCTCTTCGAGCTCTTCGCAGAAAAGTGACCTCGGGAAGTATTACACATTTGCCCATAAGAGGAGCGTCTGTGATTCATCACAGCCCTCCCTCAACCCCAAATGGTTGTCTGCCTGCTCTCCTCATCCATCCACCACACACAGCCAAAGTGACTTGACCTTGAAGCCCCAGCCACTGTAGCTCTGTAGGAGGAAGGGGAAGGATGGACAGTTTGGGCTGTCTGCGGGGGCAGTGGAAGCGGAGGACACCGTCCTAAAGCCTGACACCATTAATTTACGTAGATCCTGCAGTCAGATAGCTACAGATGTGCTCTAATAATAAGATCAGCCACCCAGAGATGAGCTTGTGGCAGCTAAACTAAAGCTTGCCTTGTGCCCAAGAGCACGCTGTGCTCAGACTTTGAATCACCGGGATCTCTCCACCTTCACACACTGATTTATGATGTTTTTACTCACCTCCAAGACCACACAGCCTCCTACCCAGTCGGTCTCTCAGTGTGTCTCTCTTTCTCCTCTATCATCTTTCTCCTCACCTGTCTCCTGCCCTGTCTCCCAGCACTGGGACTACTTCTATTCATTACCACCACCCTTTCCCCCTTTCTTTCTCCTCCCATCTGTCTGCCCCAGTCTTTGCTTTCTATCGCCTATCCTCAAGGTTCACTTATGAATAAACCTTGCCCCGCATTGCTGGGAAGTTCCCCTGATGATGCTCATAATTGACAAAATGTAGCTATTGTGACATTCCTCAGCTGTGCTGACACCACTGTTTCCCCTGAGAACATTTCTTTCCCTATTTTCACATTCCCTAAATCTAATTTCACTGCTAAATTTAGACAGAGCCCACTGCTACAACTACTAGCTAATTATCTGTTTAGATAGCACTTTAACACGTTGTTGCGATTCAGTTAAATGTTAAACAACCAAAATTTTAATATCGTTAGCCAATTTCATTCCCCCAGACTTTCCCTGATGGTTCCAGATTCCAGGAAAAGTAATTTAGCTAACATTTTTAAAGGTGCCAAAGGCTTAATTCAGGGGCTATTGTGCAATTTGCTGCAAAGACCATAAGAAATTAACAGGTTGAGGATATCTCAAAAGGATGATCTGGAACTTCTAAACTATTTCCTCCATATATGGAGACAGTGAACAGTGGCTTGCTGTGATCATATTCTCTCACCTAAAATGAAGCAAGAATGTGGAAGAACAGTACTTATAGACGTGATATAATGAGTAAAAAGAGCATTGTGCTGGTGTTTTATGTGAATACATGCATTATGTTCTAATAATAATAATTTGTGTTGCTGTGGCATCTTCAGCCAGAGATGTCAAAGCTCATGCTCATATCACATGGAAGGTGGCAATTACTATTATCCCGACTTGACAGCTGGAGGAACCTAGGCAGGGGTTAAGTGCTCTGCAAACCCTGCCAGACATATGCACGTTTATTTCTGCCAGAACTGCCTTCTTGCCTTCCAGTGGGCACCACTGAGTCCTCAGGATACCCTTTTAAGTAAAAAAAAAAAAAAAAAAAATGCACTTAGGCAATATGATTTTCTGCTTTCTAAATGTCCAGTCTGAGATTATATTCTCCTTACCAAGCTCTAGTTTCCCTGATGGAAATTATTACTAGACACACACACACACACACACACACACACACACACACACACACACACAATATTTTACATTTCATAGTAAAACTTTATATCCCCCAAAGACTAGAATTAGACCATTACTGGGCTTTATAAAAATCTGAGTTTTCTTTTACAGAAAAACTCACATTAAGAATCTGGTTGAAAAAAAATAATTCTAATTCATTAAAATTTTTGGCCTCATATATTGAAATATATATTTACATGTTAGGAAAAACATCGGAAGAAAAAGTAACACAATTCTGATGCCAACAATAGTTTCATTGTTTCACATGAAGTATTGATAGGGTTTGATCCTGCTTTTAGTTTTAAAGACCATTTGCCAATTATCGGAGTTCATTAACTCTTAACTAGAAAAACAAAGATTGTTGTGTGAACGATGAAGTAATTATGTGCAGTTCTGGGGGTTTTAAATTGGTTCAAAAGTTTGAGACTAGTAAAACTCAGTGACCAAGTAAGTCCTTTGTAGAACAGGTTGGACAGTGTATGCATTAACTAAATTTCCCTATCATCAGCAAGTTTAACTCATGTGACAAAGCATAACTTTTCCTTAATGGAGGAGAAGAACAATGGCTTATAGAATGTTTGAACTTTGGTACCATACATAACACTCTAGGTGATGGAGCCCCTTAGACTTCCAGGGTTCTGAAAAGGAATTATGCAAGTGATTGCAAACAAGCTACAAGCCCACAAAGGAGTCCACAACTTTGAGAAGTTTCAAAGTCATGTTTTTAATCAAATGCAATTCTTCTTACTAAAAAGATCATTGTTTTGTTTTCCCTCTCATTTCCTCTGGGTGTTTGCTCAAATTTCACTTTATCATTGAGCTCGTCAAGGACCACCTGGGTGAAAACTACCTCCACATTCCGTCTACTTAATCCAGTTTATTTTCTCCAGATATGTCTATCATCTTTTCCCCTTAAAGTGAAAGTTCTATGAGGACACTCAGGTTCCTTCCTACTTTTTCACTACTAATACAGAAACACGTTAAAAAAAAAAGTACTATATAGATTCCAGATTGGATGCTTAAATGATCACTATAACAACATAGCGTAACATACTCAAGTTCCTGTATAATGGTTAAAAATTCAATGGAAGTACATTAATTTTTTTCAAGACTTTAGCATGTATTTATTGATCATGTTGTATATTTAAGCTAGAAAATGATTATTCTGACCATTGCTTAAGACTTTGATTTAACTGCCATTAGTGATGCTTTTATTTTTATTTAGTGCGTGTGCGTGTGTGTGTGTGTGTGTGTGTGTGTGTGTGTGTGTGTGTGTGTTGTATTGGGGGTGAGTATATACATGTATGCACATGCATGTGGAAGCAGAGGTCAATGCTGGATATGTCCCTCAATACTTATTATTTGAGACAGGACCTCTCACTAAACTGGAACTCATCTAATAAGCTAAATGGCCTAGGCAGGGAGCTCTAGGACTCCTTCTGTCCTTCTGTGACTGCTCCTCTAGCACTGGGAGAAAAGGTTTGGTTCTTGGCTTGTCCGTGTGGTCATGGAGATCTAGACTCAGGTCCTCATGTATGCTCGGCAAGCGCTTGACTTACTGAGCCAGCTCTGGTGCTGTGCCTCCAACCATTGTCTCTCCGCTGTATATTCACACAGTTCTGCACTTTAGGGCTGCCATGCTGGGGTATGGGGTTCTGCAGTCTACACGTCTCCTTTACCAATGGGCTTTCTCATAGGTTCTACCACTAAGTCACTGGGTTATTTCTTGGCATTCATTTCTTGCTCCTAACAGCATCACCTTGGTGGTTATACACTGTCATTCTTGTCTTTAGGACTTGCTTCCAGACTTTCATTTTCACACTCTAAATAATAGACTCTTCACAACCTTTCAGAGATACCAGCCCCGGCCGAGGTGTTCCCACTCCTCAGAGGACCAGTCCTGAGCTCAGCATCTCTTCTCTGGACTTCTGAGTGCTGATAACCCAGACTTCCTCCTTTGTTCCCGGGATTCTAAAGGCCATAATAACTTCCTTCCTAGTAGATAAGTCCTGTCTTTAGGAGATTCCACTTCCCCCTTTTTAACCTAGAGACTCCTTCAAGCAACATTTCCCTCTGTGCAGCATTTTCCCCTATTAATTTCTTTAATAATTTCTGCCTCCGTCATTAGACTCCAAGTGACACTCAGTTTTTCTGTGATTATTTCTTCACATCTTAACTTATAACCGTTGTTTTTCTCTACATAAAACTGTTTGAACATCGCAGAGCCAACATTAATCCATCAATAAACCAATAGCTGTAAATAGAAGCCACAAGTCAAAAGAGCAAAACTGTTTCTATTTCCTTGGCAGTATACTACATTTATCAGAGATGATCTTGAAAGCAGTGAAATTATGTTGATACTATGATATACATGTAGGTCTTAGTTTTTCTGTTTTTTATCCAGGTATGTTAAAAATCAAATGCACACCTTTCATTTTATGTGTCTGATTTATTTCATTTATACTTCTCAAGCCAACAATGACAGCAAACATTCATTTCATACATCTGACTACTGGTAAACCATAGTTATACTTTGCTTCTCTTCTGTAGTAATGCTATCATTCCAAAGAATGTAGCTTGAAAGGAGATATATTCAGGCAGAAAGAGGAGCGATGCCACAAGATTGATGTGTTAAATAATAAATAGGTTAGATTAACAGATATAATTGAACCCGCCCTAATACTAATGATAGTTTTCACTTAAAGATCCATAATATAAAGGAAACAGAGAAGGAAGGCAAAGTTCTGCTGTGGTGATATAATGTGTATCAAATAAAGCTTGCCTGAGGATCAGAGGACAGAGTCAGCCACTAGATTAAACATAGAGACCAGGCAGTGGTGGTACACACATTTAATCCCAGCACTCAGGAGGCAGAGATTCATCTGGATCTCTGTGAGTTCAAAGCCACCCTAGATTACACGAGATTGATTCAGTCTAGGAGAGAAACAGCCTGGCAGTGGTGGCACTCACCTTTAATCCCAGTACTTGGGAGTCACACGCCTTTAATCCCAGCACTTAAGATCTCCTGTCTTTGCTACCAGTATTTGGGAAGCACACACGCCATTAATCTCAGCACTAGGAAGGAAGTGAAATGGCTGGGCAGAGAAAGGCATGTAAGGCATGAGGAGACAGGAACTAGAGCTTTACAGCTGAAGAACGTGCCTTTCGGCTGAGGACTGAGAGGCTTTCAGTCAGAGGATTCATGGAGATAGGATCCCATGAGTATCACTCGGAGTCTAATGACGGAAGCAGAAACTATTTAAGTGAAAGAAATTAATAGAGGAAAATGCTGCACAGAGGGAAATGTTGCTTGAAGGAGTCTCTAGGTTAAAAAGGGGGAAGTGGAATCTCCTAAAGACAGGACTTATCTACTAGGAAGGAAGTTATATAGAGTCCCAATCAGCTGGAGGATTCATTAGCAGTGAGAAGTTTCTCTAGTGGCTTGTTCCTTTGTCTCTCTGGCATTTACCTCAATATCTGGCTCTGGGGTCTTATTATAACACCATTTAGGATTTGTGTTGCATTCTACCTTAAAAAGACTGGGAAAGCTTCACAGGAAACACAGTGTTTGGACAGTCTTAAAGTGTGGCCTGGAGTTTGCCACTAAGATAAGAGAAAGGAAGCAAAGAGAGGAGTGGGAATGGGGAGTTACAGAGACACGCATGTCATATGTTCAGGAAACCACAAGCATTGCTGTGCTGCGAGAGGGTAGCATATAAGGAACATAAGGCTAAAGATGAAAATGAACTGAGGTTGGCAGAGATTTCTGCTTGGTTTGGTTTTTTTTTTTTTTTTTTTTTTAGTTGAGGACTGAACCCAGGGCCTTGCGCTTGCCTAGCAAGCGCTCTACCACTGAGCTAAATCCCCAACCCAGGTTGGGCTAGTTTAAAACTGGGTCTTACCCTGTAGCCCAGGCTGGACCCATAGTCTTGGCAATCCTGACCCAAGAGTGATGACCTGAGCCAACACATCTGACTAAAATTTTCCAAATTTTGAAAAGAAGATTGGATTTTATCTGAGACCATGAGAACGATTTAAGAATTTTGAGGAAGAGAATGACAAGATTATATTTGTTAAGGAAATCAGAGAAATTGGGGAAGGCGAAGATAAATGGGACGTCAGGCCGTCTGGGGATATTGCAAGTGGGGATTTAGTAAGGGAGTTCTGAGGAGCAGTGAGGGAATGAGCCTCACGTGGATGAAACAGAGCAGTTTAATAAAGACAGGTGTGGAAGCACAGGCCTTTAATCTCAACGCTTGGGATGCAGGTGGATCTCTATGAATGTGTCAACACAGTCTACTGGCAGGGTGTGGGGGGCGGGGGAGGGAGGAGAAGACCCTGTCTCAAAACAAATAATTGAGGGAAAACTTTAGGGTTTTAAAACATCGTTCTGGATCTCCACAGAGGCTGGAATAGGATATGAGGAGATAGGAAATGATATATATAGGCAGTGGAGAGAAACAAGCAATGGGACAGAGAGAGATGGTGGGGGGAGGGGAAGAAGAAAGGGGGAAGCACTGAAAGCCAGTAAGAAAATGTGTGTAAAGGTGGGCGGGGGGGTGGGGGGGTGGGGGTGGGGGTTAAAGACCAGTGACCTCACTGGATCAGAAAATCTGGAGAGGCAGAAGCTACAAAAGCTGCAGCCAGGCAATGGATGGCTTCGTGCACTATGAGGCAGTTTTGAGGTAAAGTGTATTCCGTACTTTTAAGTCTTAATTAGCTCTCTCACATATTGCCCAATTTCTTTCCAACTGCCAATAATCCATAGGTGTTCTCTCAATGGAATGGGAAGAGAGAGAGACTAGACCTGTGGGTGATTTTGCTGTTGTGTGTCAGTCATACTG